ACTATGACGCAGTATGGGTAGTGGTTGATAGGCTCACCAAGAGTGCACACTTTTTGCCTATCAACATTACTTATCCTCTTGAAAGATTGGCCAAGCTATACACGGAGGAGATTGTGAGACTACATGGAGTCCCAATATCCATTGTCTCGGATAGGGATCCACGATTCACATCCCGATTTTGGCCAAAATTTCAAGCATCGTTGGGTACTAAACTGAAGTTTAGCACAGCTTTTCACCCACAGACGGATGGACAGTCCGAACGAGTGATACAGATTTTGGAAGACATGCTTAGGGCATGTGCGCTGGAGTTCCAAGGAAGTTGGGACAAGCATTTGGTCCTAGTGGAGTTTGCTTATAACAACAGTTATCAAGCAAGTATCGGCATGCCCCCATATGAGGCATTGTATGGGAGGAAATGCAGAACACCATTGTGTTGGGACGAGGTTGGCGAGGCCAAACTCGAAGGTATAGAACTGGTTGAAATCACCAAAGCTAAGGTGAGGATCATTCAGGATAGACTGAGGGCTGCTCAGGACCGACAGAAGAGTTATGCTGACAAACGGCGGAGACCGTTGGAGTTCGAGGTCGGTGATGAGGTTTTTCTAAGGATTTCTCCTTGGAAGGGCATCATCCGATTTGTATCGAGGGGGAAGCTTAATCCCCGATACATTGGTCCATTTGAGATCCTTGAAAGGATTGGGGCCGTGGCTTACCGCCTCAAGTTGACACCAGAGCTTGAGAAGATACATGACGTGTTTCATGTATCGATGCTCAAGAAGTACATACGGGACCCATCTCATATTCTTGAGAAACCACCGGTAGAGATCCGTGAGGATTTGCAATATGCGGTAGAGCCGGTGAAGATAGTAGGTCAACAAGTGAAGAAGCTTAGGAATAAGGAGATTCCTATGGTAAAGGTTCTTTGGAGGAGTGATCGAGTCGAAGAAGAAACTTGGGAGACCGAAGTCTCAATGAGGGAGCAATACCCGTTTCTTTTCGATTAGACACACGGATTTCGGGGACGAAATCCCAAATAAGGGGGGGTGAACTTGTAACACCGTCCCCAAATGTATTTACTTTCAAGTAAATGATGTAATAAACCTTATGGAATGATTTACGAATTTACGAAGTTGTAAATTTTTATTATTCTTTCGCGTGAATAGTAAAGTGCACGTGGGGCCCACACCGGGAGCGGGGCCGCCCGACATTCCCGAGACCATATACTTTATTCATCTTGGTCTAGATAATAAATATATAGTGGTGAATATTTCATTTGGACCATGGAAAGGCCCAGAGTTGACCGATTCGTCAAAAGAAGCCCAAATTACCGGTACTGGTAATTTAACAGATATCAGCCCGAAAATGAATTTCGGAGACTTCTAAATCAATGTTTTGGAATATATATTATTTCAAAAGGCCATTACGATTGAGAACACGTAATATACTTTATTTTACCCGATAAAATAAAATATGATTAAAACAGTCCGAAAAATACAACTTTCGGGACCGATTGTACACCTCGGGGCATAAAGGGATGACCTCCCACATGAGTGGGGGCCATCCCACGTTTTTTTTTTCAGCTTAAATGTGACTCTTGGTGGCTGGCAAGACAAAGGAAGGGTGAGGAGTCTATCAAAGGTACAATGGGGGGGTCCATTCTCACATTATTTTGAGAGAAAAGCCAAAGAGGCTATCTCTTCACTCACCCACCCCATAATTTCGACCAAGGCACACCAAGAGAACAAGGAGACCTCTGCAAACTCATCTTCCATAGCCAAAATTCGAGCTCAAGCCATAGGGTTCCAAGAAGGAAGATTAAAGAAGGAAAAAGCTAGGAAAAAGTGTGAAAATTAAGGTAATGACCTTATTATAACTTTTCCTTTATTTTTCTTCTATCATATGAGGTATATATCATATGAAGGACCCTTAGTATGATTCCACATGTTATAAGTATGGATTTATGGGTTGGAAAATGGTTCTAAGTCCAAGAACGGACTTAGAAGCCAAAACGACCGGTTCACCGGAAAATAACCTTTTTTGAGGTTATTTGTATTAACATGGGTTTTATGATTATAAAACCTTGTTAGGAACTTGTGAAAGGTATTTCAAGTGATTTCACAAAGTTGGAAAAGTCGCCGGAGTTGTCGCCGGAGTTGGCCAAAAGTCGCCGGAGTTCCACCGGAGTTCAACCAAGAAGGGTAGAACTTCATAACGCTAGTTCAAGGTGAGTGGACGGCTTAATATCTTATAACTTTTGGGTTAATTATAAGATTACCTAAATAAATGTTATAAGTGTTCATAATGATGTTTAAAAGATATTTAAACACGTGATTAGCCAACATAGATAAGTTTGTATGAAAAGAATTAATTGTTTATACATGAAACATGATATGCACAAGAATTAATGATGATATGAGAAATAATATGAAATGCATATTTGTTGGGAATGTCAAAGAAGCACAAATGATTATTATTAACTTAATTATATGATGATTAAGTTGACATGTACAAGGCTTGAATGGCGGTCAACGACAACGTTGACCGATGGACAATGGATTAATTAATGTCGGTTGATATTAGTTAATTGTACATTTATATAATTGCATGGATTTGCATGAATTGTGATACATAAGTCTTATGTATTGAATTAGTTATGAGTGACTAAATATGATATAGACTCTATCTAGTGTGATATGTGGTAAGTCATAGGTCGGGTGGAGTACCCAAGGATCGGGCGGTTATCCTCAAAACTCGGTTATAGGGTGGAGAACCCAAGGATCGGGCGGTTATCCTCAAAACTCGGTTATATAGGGTGGAGTACCCAAGGATCGGGCGGTTATCCTCAAAACTCGGTTATATAGGGTGGAGTACCCAAGGATCGGGCGGTTATCCTCAAAACTCAATTATAGGGTGGAGTACCCAAGGATCGGGCGTGTATCCTCAAAACTCATAGATTACATTTAATGATCTAGGACCGGGCGGTGTCCTCATGATAATTTATTTGAACAAGGAGGAGTTCTATACACTCATAGGTATATGGGTGGGTTGGGATTTAAGTCAAGGATATTGGCTACTATTATTTTCCCAAATAAACAATGACCTACGGGTCGGGTATTTCCAAGTGTATGTATACTAATATGTATTTCAAACTTGGGGGAAAGACTATACGTATATGTATCATCCTATGTTTGGGTCTTATACTTGAAACGCTAGTTATTCTATATTTAGCCTGCTACTCGCTCGGTACTTGTACTGACCCCTTCGGGGGGCCCCACCATTTTCAGGTTGAAGCTAGGGCTTGCTACCTGCACCTTTCTACGGGTGACATCAAATCAAGGAAGACGTGGTTCGTGCTTCCTCATTTCATTTCAAATTACCAAACACTGCTCATGGATATTTTTATTTGTCATAAACTATTCTTTTGGGGCTTGCATGCCCATGTTATTGGCCGGTTGTGGCTTATGACTACCGTTGAATACTTCCGCTATTCATTGGTTTAAATGTGATGTTGTTATGTATGTTTACTGCTGAGTATGGATGGATTATTTCTCTCGAACGCCTTGTGTAATCAAGTGAGGTTGACTCGCGGGTGACGTCACTTGATTATACGGCGGTTGTACACGCGCTTGGATTGCGGTCTGGGGCGTGACATGTGTGATTAAAATAAGAAGGAATGAGGTGTTTATATAGGATTTTCGAGCAAAATATCAATTAAAAATAATAGAAAAATAAAATAAATTATTTCAACCGTTGGATTTAAATTTCAGCCGTTGGATCATTTTTTTTCCCGTTCAAACAGTGTCAAGTTCATCACAACCGTTGGATCTACCAAATATTTTTTTATACAAACAATTGAGCCGTTGGTAGTGCATGGTGCCTCATGCTGACATCAACATGATGTCAGCGAGGCAAATAATTCCCCCTGGCAAGCCTTCTGCTCCCGTCTGCGCACAACAGGTATGCCCCCACTCCCCTTTTTCTTTGCTTTTCCATTTAATTTTTGGCTGTCTAAAATTCCTCCAAACTTAATCCCTTCCCTCCCCAAACCCATTTTTAATACCCTCCACACTCAACCAATGTAAGAAATTAGGAGTCTAAAAATGCCATTTTAACATTTTAGACTCCTAATACCTCACCACTCCATTTGGTCTTAGGGGTGTGAAAGGAAGATAGTGAAATAATGTGATGGAATGAAGGATAAATCCAAAAATAGTAGGTATAGTAACGTATTATTTTTAAAATTATTGATGGTATAATGAGAAGATTTAGAAATTGAAAGATATTAATGTTACGTCCAAACTCCAAACAAGTGACAAGATTTAGAAAAGTGGGAAGATACTTACGTTACCGAGGTAGTATGAATTTAGTTAATGTTGAAGAGGGATAGTGTAGTAATGTAAGTAAGGGATTTCAGATTTGTATAGTGAAAGGAGCAATCAAGCAAACAACAAAAACATTACCCCAGTTAGGATGAGTAGGAGGTCGGATGTATACTATAGAACTAATAGAACGTCCGTTTTAAATGACTAATGATGAACATACGTAGGAGTAGGAGTCGAAATTTCGAAATGACTAATAGGAGGTCGGATGAGTAGGAGTCGAAATTTCGCTGATTGCTACTTTACTCCATCACAGTCCCAAAGCAAAAAATACGTAGTAGGGATTTTTTACTCGATTTACCTTGGTACCAACAAGGCAACAACAGTAGATTACGTTTATATTCAAAGTTACAAACTGTTTATATGCCAATTTTGGAAGGATGATTTTATCACAAAAAATGAATTCCTAGGATCCCATCCAACTATATTTTTCTGACTTGTCTGCTAAAAAGTCAATCAATTTGGCAAGTATAAGTACGTCCGGGTATTAAACAAGATTCGATCGGACAAGATTGGTAAACTGGGTTTAGTCCTCGTTCACACCCTCCAAAAACACACAAATTAATGTGAATCCAGAAGATTCAGAAATTAAAGGAAGAGTTGTAATAAATCCAAAATTACCTTATTGATTGAGGGCGAAGACGTACTTTGAGCATTTAGGATGAACACATGCAATCAAGCTGGTCACGATTCTTGAATATGTATACATAAATACGGAGTACGTTATACAAAGTATAAAAAATGTTATGAATGTTGTAGAATGAATTGTCACCTTTCAGCCGAAGGGGACTTGCCCACACGAAGTACTTCAAATGATGAATTGACTTTGTAATCCGTAGTATATACTCCAGTATATCTATCAAAAAAATGTTAATTTACTACTACCCCCATGAAGTGTTGCAACATAAAACGGATATCTATCGGAAAAATTATACTCCGTCCCCGGAGTATCATCACACAAAATCGGATCAAATAAGACCATCATTAATTTACTACTTCCTCCATTCGGTGGATTTTGCTAATTGCAAAGTAGGTGAGAAATAAGAATAGCTTTTAAGTACGCAGTTATCTTTAAGAATTCATTTAAATGTCTTCCCAATTGAAATTTTAGTTGAAATTTGATATATGTAAACTAGATTTAATGAATAAGATGCTAAAAATTTTCATTAAAAAATCCATCAGGAACCGCCCCAAATGGCGACGGCCGGATAGAGCCTCATATATAAGGGTTTATTTGACCTTTTTATGTAAGTTCGAGAGCATATGTGACCTTTTTTCCAAATTTTGCCCAATGTACTCCATGTTTTTGGTAACCATGTTTTTGTGATTAAGAACTCATTTGGTGACATATGAGTTTATCAGGATAAAAAAAATGATAACTCTAACCCACCATGAAATGGGATGAAATGGGCTAGCCATGTGGATTTTGACTCATTTTGACAATTCTATACATAGTCTAATTGAATTCTCTTGTAAACATTGATTTACGAATTCACATACAATTAATTGTCATACGCTTTTAAGAAAAACTTTATGTGCATATTTTACCGTGCAGTGCACGGTACACATACTATATTAATATATATATATATATATATATATATATATATATATAGAGAGAGAGAGAGAGAGAGAGAGAGAGAGAGAGAGGAAAGTTCATGTCACGACCTCCAAAAACGGACCTCCGTACGGACCTCGGCGTTTGGGCTCCTTCCCGGTGGAATTTTTTGATGAAATGTTTTACGCATTTTCTTCATCAAGTCTAGTTTACACATACCAAATTTCAGCTAAAAATTCCATCGGGAAGGCAGTCAAATAATTTTTGGAAGTTAACTGCATTTTATATGTATATAAAGTGCATTTTATATGTATATAATTTTTGGAAGTTAACTGCATAAACGGGACTATATATATATATATATATATATATATATATAGGGGTGAGTTCAAGTGAAAAGTAGTCTTCCCATGAAAAGTGAGAACAAATTTTGGCCTTCCATCACTTGAAAATGGATGGATTAGATGAACTTTAAACACAAGAGATGATTTCAAAAAATGTGCAAACGTTTATACTATAAAGTGGATAGTAACTGATTAAAAGTGCACTCGTGCATGTAAAAAAAGATTGTCAAAATTTTCCAGTTTGTGCATTTTTTATTGTGTACCGTATTGCACTTTTGTGCTCTACATTTGCACTTTTTGACTATTATGATGCACATTTGTCACAAAATTTTCAATAAAAGTTCTTCATAATTACAAAAATGCCACCCGCGTTTCCAACTTAAAATTTGATCTCTTCCATCCATTTTTTCACATCAATGGCCAAGATTAGTTATTATTTTTCACCTAGGATGTACTTTTTATTTGATCCAAACTCTATATATATATGTATGTATGTATGTATCCCACAACCAATTAGGGCTGGGACCGGTTCGGTTCTCACTCAAAATGAGTGGAACCGTTATAAAAGTTTTAACTAATGAAATCGATTCCGTTCCTATATAAAAAATCAAGAACCGTTATGGAACCGAACCGGTAGTAAATGGTTCGGTTCTTCCTTTTACCGGTTCCTATAATAATTTGTTCTCGTCTAAGAATTAACACATAATTTTAAACACGTCGAAAATTCAAAACACGAGCATTAAAATTTTATTTGAAACTCTAATCACTTCAAACATCAAAGCTCAAACTTAACTAATGAACTTTGAACACTTAATAGAACAAAAGTGATTTAAATTTTCATGTAATAAATGAAACATTAAAAATCGTTGTTGTGTCGGAGCGATGAAGGTTACTCGTCATCATAGTAGCAAGAATAAGACGCCTACTTCAAGTCTTTCAAAACATAAAAAAAAAGGCATTGAGTTTGCATGTATAGATATAAAAAAACATTATTACCATCTATTGATTCATAATAAATCTAATAATTAGAAATATCATGAAAATAGTAAAGTAAAATATGTGCAATCAACTACAAGTTATTTGGGTTATTTTATATTTATAAAATTTATGTGATGGAACAAAACTTGATTTGTAGAAAGGAGTTTAATGTATTATATCAACCTCATGTACAATATTTATTACTTCTTTTCCGTTGATTAAATTAGAATTGTTAGTTGAATATCTTATATTGTTTTATTATTGTTGTTGTGGTGGTGGTTATTATTGCTATTATATTATTATTATTATTGTTACTACTACTACTAATATTTTATTTTTTATTTTTTTAAATAACGGTTCCATGCACATATTTTTTATAGGAACCGGGAACCGAACCGTTATAACCCGCTTCGGTTCGGTTCCTACAAATGATGCATTAATTGTTAACGGTTCGGTTCCTAGATGTTATTAACGGTTCGGTTCCAATCGGATCTACGGTTCCCGGTTCCAAAATCCCACCCTACAACCAATTTGAAAAATTGTCAGAAAAAATGTCGAAGGATTTTCTCCTCTGTTTTAGCTTATCTAAACACATATTCCAATTACTATGACATTAAGAGGTGTGATTAAAAAAAAATAAACTACTTTGGGGCAGGCAGAAGGTCGGGGTTAGAAAGTGAGTTCGCTGACTACGAACATTATACATATACTCCGTATAATACTCCGGAAGTCCGTATATATTAGATGGCATCCACATTGATAATCCTTTACATTTTTTTCATGACCTATTATTGTCATATCACTTCCACATAAGATAATCTCAAATAATCTCCAAATAAAAAAATTTCTCTTCATTCATGATCTTAATTTACCTAGATTTTTTATGAGACATACACTTAATTTCAAAATCTCTAACTTAAATGCACTCACACACACATGCACTCTACATGCACAAACTATATTACTACATATACATATATGGTACTATAAGTACACTATTATATATATATGTAATATACGGACTACAAATTATATACTCCGTAGTATATTAATAAAGTACTATACGTACACTACTATAAATTTTTGTATCTAACATTGTATATTTTAATTTATAACATTTCAATTAATGTACTTTCTTTAATAATATTTCAATTAATCTTTATATATATAAAAGATGAATCGTGAGAACAAAGTGAACAATTCTGACCACTAGATTATTACACGTGTCAAAAGATGATGAAATTAAAAACATAACCGACCAATCACGATCACTATTCCTTGCTTTTCTCATAATCAAGCACGTGGCAAAACTTCATTGCTATCTAATTCAGTAGTGGGACAAATGCATCACGATTGCATGACCTCTCTAGCATGACTATGGCAGTTTCCCCTAATCGCACCAATGTACTCGCTCCGGTTTTTAATAAACTTCACACTTTCCTTTTTGGGACGGTCTAAAATAAACTTCACACTTCCTTATTTCCTTTTTTGGCAAAGAAATCTATACCAAAACAGTGTCAAACAGTGCCAAACAGTGTCTCAACAGTGCCAAACAGTGTCTCTACAGTGCCAAACAGTGTCAAACAGTGTCTCAACAGTGTACTCTACAGTAAAGTCAAATTTCTTTCCTTATTTTGTGTGAAGTCAAACTGTGAAGATTAAAAAAAAACCGGAGGTAGTATATATATATATCCTGCGTCACAGAAGAATCAAACTATCAAATTCAAACGTAGGCATTGCAGTATATTTCTCACCTTCTGTCATACATAGTATTACGTAACTCTAATAATTTTAGACAAATAGTGAATTTAATTCTGGTGCTAAATTGCAGAGGGTTGAAAGAGCGTCAATAGTTTTAGACAAATAGTGAATTTAATTCTGGTGCTACTAAATTGCAGAGGGTTGAAAGAGTGTCAAGGTTGAAGATGTTGTTCAACAAGGTACATGAGCTTAACACCTCAAAGACCAATTGGGCGTTGAGAGTCAGACCGGTGCGTTCATATCCAGTCCCAGTTTTCACTAACAGAAATGTGATCAACACTCTGGAGTGTGTGTTTCATGATCAAGAGGTAATTCTTAGTCATTTTAGACTTTTTAGTCCACTTCATATTTTTTAATTTTGAAACAAATTGACTCGCTTTTTATTTATGGAGGGCGACAAGAGTTCATGCCACGATTCGCCGGGAAAGGCTGGAGCATTTAAGGAACGGATAAAAGAATGAAACGTTTACATCTTGTGCATTTAACATCATTTTCAACCACAAAAGTAAATGAAGTATTGCAAAGGGTATAATGGGTATGACACAGGTAGATTTTATGGTTAACATACAAATAAACTATTTAGTTAAACCAGGAAACATAAATTCAATTCAGAAATATTGCTTCAAACCCAATTCTGAACATTAACTTAAAAGAATAAAAGAAATTTTGTTGTGATAACTGATAAGGAAAAAATTGGTATAGTTATAAAAGGAATCTGTTTGAAAGCTTATAAAAACATTGTAAAGATTAAATGTTGGGAATCGGATTTTAGAAGTAATGCTTTGAAGTAGTAATTCCTGTGACGAATAAATACATATTTCAGTGGGTGCACCCACGAAGCATCGGACATACTCAGCTTTTGATTTTCAGTTAAATCTAAATTGATATACAGAAATGAACTAATACTTGAGAGAAAATTGAATAAGGTTAGGTTCTTTTTTAATTATGATTATATTTCTTAATCTTTATATAATATATAAACAATTAAGTACATAAATATAATCAGTTGGAGCAAAGATCCAAATTTAAATTATAAGTAGGACTTATTTTATGATTTTCACTCACAAATTGACCTTGAAAAATTGATGATGAAATCTAGCAGCTTGCCTCAGTTTATAATAGTCTTGAATCAATATTGTAGCACAGGAAATAATCCCTCTCTTACTGCAAGGACGATATAGGCAAAACACACCAGCTTCCTAAAAATTCACCTCTGTAGCCAAAGAAAATGATAGCATCTATAAACTAGAACAAGCATCATGTTACATATGCATAACACACCTTGAAATGGGTGTTTACGGAAGACATGATTTCTCATATGAAATCTTTGATAGACATGGCAAGCCCATTAATATTTACAATTATATCACACCCATTCATACATGTATTTGAAATTTAATGGTAGTTATCATTCAAGTAAACAAACCAGATTTATATTTTGCATGCATTAAGGCAGGGATACCGTAAAGACTGTTGGGTAGCCAGTTCTGGCTAATTTTGCTTATTAGCAAACTAAGTAGTAAAGTAGCCTTTGACTTTTATACACAGTTTAAACGGATGTAACACCATGCTTTCATATTTTAATGAGTAGATTATTTAGCCATTTCAGCCAGACTATCCTCTATAGCAACTTTAAATTCCACTTGAACGCCAATAAATTGGGCTTATCAGTTAACTTTAAAACCATTAACAACCATGAATAATTTTAGATAAGAAAAGGGGAATAAATGAATTGCCAGTACTATTTTTAGTAGAAATAGATAAAAGAGTTGAAATTGATGCTTTGAGCTCTACATTAGATATACTCGGTAAGAAACCAAATATGGAACACAGAGAATGTGATTAACAGTATAGTAAATCCCAATAGTCCAATACACTCCAAATGAAAACCCCAAATCAGCTATTAAAAAAGAAATGAAACGACTTTAGGATTGAAGGGAAAATAGCATTAACTTTGAAAGAAAATTTAGTAAATTGAAACTAAATTAAATAACAAACCTTATGAAAATCAGTATGGTGGTGACTGTGTCCGATCTAATAGTAAGACGTGGAAGGAGATAAATCGGTTTGATGGAGGTGATTTGTCGACCAGGGTGACGGCAAGGTCGGGAGAAGTTTGCAGACGGTGAGGGAGAGAGTGAAGACCGGAGGTGTCCAGAGACTTCCAAATTGATAGTGAGGTGAGCTTTGTGGTCATGTGAAAGCATGCGTACATCTCTTCTGTACATACAATATTATAAGAGGGAATATTGTCAGGAATTAAACTCTGATAAAAAAAGATGTTGGTGTCTCTTCATGCATAATGTCATGGTACTTTATACCTACTTTGTTGTACACTATTAACATGCTAGCAGCTTCCGTTCTAACGGAAATGATTTCAACATTATACCCTTACGGAGGATATAACCTTTCAGCTCCTCTCTTCGTTTCAGCCGCTTAGATTGTCCGCTCAAAGGTCAGACTAACAATATGGTAAAAATCATTTCCAGGGTTTTGAGAGTCAAGACTAACCTAGAGACTGTGTGGTAGTGCCTCTTGTGTCACTGTCTTGAATAGACCAATACAATAGTAGAGTTGTATACCGATACTATGGTTTTAATGTAACAGTTCATCATGATGTTTAGTATTTAGAATATTTACCATGTAAGAGATCACTCCAGTCCAACTGAAGAATGAAAAGTGTTTTGTAATTAGGGAAAAAAGAATTGGTTTATTTTGTTTGATAGTTTATTTTTTACTTTTGTTTTAGATAAATAAGTCTGAGTGGTGGCTAGATTTAAGGTTCTATAGTAAAGGATTTGAATTGTATCTCTCAAATGAAATACTCCCTCTATCCCTAAAACAGAGTTCAGTTTTAAAAAGTATTTTTATCCTAAAAAAGTCCTATCTTTAAGTCAACTTTAATCTTTACTCAAGATCCTAAAGCCAATCTGCATGTGTTTTAGTCAATTACTTGATGTTATGAGTATGATTCACCATCATAATTTGTAAATGCTTATACTTTGATTGAACCGACCAATTGTGGCAAGATATACCTTACTGAAACATGAGTTCTTATGAGATGGAAGTAGCAAACTGGTACAGGTAAATGACCCTAAACATATGGCTAAAAGGAAGGAAAATTTTCTGAAGATGTATGAAATGGTATTACATATCCTTATCATTGAATGACCATTGAAGAAAAAATGTAGCTGGTGAGTAGTTTTTGCAGATCATTTTCTATATGTAATCTATTTGTACTTACATAGTTATGTTTCTTTGAGATGTCTTCTTGTACCAATTATTTTTTATTCTTATTCGTGGTTGACTTCATTGTATAAAGAGCATATCTGGAGTGAATAGGAAGGCAAATTTTATGAAACTATGCAAGCATGCTTAATATATAGTTATACCTTAAGAATGATCCAAATCATTTTGCTTCACTTTTTTTTCTTTTATTTAGTTTTTATTTTGTTAGTTTATTTTCCAAAGAGGCATACCCCTAAGGTATAAAGAAGGAACTTAAGTGAAAAGAGACCGGTTAAAACCAAGACTCACAATCACACATATTCCTTATGCATCCAAATTCGTCAAATTCAGTTAGGAGAGACCACCATTCTAACTCAAGAACTTAGTCCTTTTTTCAAGTAGGATAAGATACATTCAGATATAACTGATACATGTGATCGAATTCATTAAACACTCCATTAATATCGTTGTCAATTTTTCACCTTTTAGAGACTAATTTAAGCTTCTATGTACTTGTCACTTTTTTCCGCTACTTCCATGACTACAAGTCTACAACTGTGTTGAGTTTAATCCAACACGATATAGTAAATATATGTATAAATGTGTATGAACAAGCTATTTTTACGTGGAAACCCGAAAGGAAGACAACCACGGGACTTTTTAGGCTAATGTCTAAGTCCTCTCTTTCTCATTAGAACTCTCCTCACCATTACATAGTACAATTTGAGCTCCCATTAATGGAATCTTGCAAGCTATTCTATTTTAGAGGGGAGGAGAAGTGGGGAAGAAGAGCCCAACTAAAAATCAGCCCTTTACATGGAGGGAAAACCTCCTATTTATAGGGAATAAGGGAAGGGGAATAAATCTACCCTAATGGGCCAAGTGGGCCGAAAGGGGCCCAAAGGCCGAAAAAGGCCTACTAATCTAAAACGGGCCTCACTGATCGGGCTCCGTACTGCGTACAGTCTTGGGCTCCTGAACAGTAACGGACCGGGATAATATATCTCAACACAAGTCCCCCGGTTTCTTGAGTAGTGAGCGTGCGATTCTGCTCGAGAAAGTATACTCTTTTCTACGCTCTTCCTCTGCCTTCTTTGCACATGGCCTCGGCTTTCGGAGCAAAGGCTTAACCATGCCTTTGCCTAGGTGCGGGGGATTGGGGCGTTCGGCCCACGGATGCCTGACCCGACATCCTTTGGGCGTTCGTCCCTAGAAGCTCGGCCTAGATGTGTCTTTGCTTTTGATGCACGACCCCGATTGCAGCTCTCAGAGTCGTCATATAGCGACAATCCTCGGCTTATTCCTAGAGAACGTTCGACCTTCAGATGCTAGGCTGGGATTCCTTGGACGTTCGGCCCCTTGATCTCTAGTGTTGGGGCTCTGGAATTTTCCTTCTGGATGCTTGGCCCGACATGCTTAGGAAGATTAGTCCCTAGAAACCCGACCCAACTCCCTTTGGACGTTCGTCCCTAAAAACTCGGCCTAGATGTGTCTTTGCTTTTGATGCACGACTTGGTAGCAGTCCTCGGAGTCGTCATACAGCGACAATCCTCGGCCTATTCCTAGAGACGTTCGACCTCCAGATGCTAGGTTGGGTCTCCTTGGGACATTTCTACCTCAACATGCTCAGCCTAGGCATGCTCGGTCTCAGGATGTGCTGCGCGCCTCAATGCCCTTGGCCTCTGGGGTGGGGATGCTCGTCCCCAAACTTTGGCCTCTGGATGATGGATGTTCGTCCCCGGGCTTTGGCCTCTGGGTGATGGATGTTCGTCCCCGGGCTTTGGCCTCCGGGTGATGGATGTTCGTCCCCGGGTTTTGGCCTCCAGGTGATGGATGTTCGTCCCCAGGCTTTGGCCTCCGGGTGATGGATGTTCGTCCCCGGGCTTTGGCCTCCGGGTGATGGATGTTCGTCCTTGGGCTTTGTCCTTCGGGTGATGGATGTTCATCCCCGGGCTTTGGCCTCCGGGTGATGGATGTTCGTCCCCGGGATTTGGCCTCTGGGTGATGGATGATCGTCTCCGGCCCTCGGCTCTTGGTCTTCTTTAGATCCTCGGCCTCTGAGGAGGAGGTGATCGTCCACGGCCCTTGGTTCTTGGGGTGGAAGATGCTCGTCTCCGAGCCCTTGGCCTTTGATGGTCTTCTTTAGACGCTCGGCCTCTAGGGAGGAAGATGCTCGTCCCCGGGCCTAGGCCACTGGACGATAGATGATCGTCTTTGGGCCCTCGGCATCCGGGGTGAAAGATGCTCGTCCACGTGCATCGCACGGGTACAATACTAGTGTATTTAATTGTAGTAGTGCTAAATAACAATGTATTTGATGTTGAACAATGAACACTTGAATTGAATTTGGATGTTGAACACTACGTATAAAGGAATAGCGCATGCAGTTCAACTCTTCGTATATTTTGTAGTATGGCATACATGAGCTCTTCAAATCAATTAATGAGTATGTCTAGAAAATTGGGAGAGGAGCCTAGAAGTTGGAAATAATCTTCAAATAATCTAGCTTTAGAATTTGATACCAGATTTTTTTATCAAATAATCCTAACTTCTCAACCATAATCTCAAAAAAGATCATCCACATCATCACAATGATCTCTAAAATAATACTCCCTCCGTAACATATATATGTTCCCATTTGAAAAGTAGGTAGATTAAGAATAGTGAAAGAGGATATAAATTATTGAGGGTATGATGGGAAGATAGTGAAACAATGTGTTTGAATGAAGTATAAATCCAAAAAAAGTAGGTGTACTAGTGTATTATTTTTAAAATTATTGAGGGTATGATTGGAAGATTATGAAATGGGAAGATATGAATGTTACATCCATAAAAGGAAAGTGAGAAGATATAAATGTTACGGAGGGAGTATATGGATGTGGATGCCCTTAACCTTTACTTTTTAATAAATGAAATAGTCTGTATATTCTTTATTTATTGGTGACAGATATGTAGAATTTGCAACAATATCTAACTCACACGTAGGCCCTGTTTGTTAACGGCTTTAACGGCTGAAATGGCTGAATTTGCTGAAATGGTTGAATCTGTTGAAGTGAAAGTGTTTGGTGATATATTAGTTGAAATGACTGTTTAAATGTAAAATTACCAAAAAAGTTATTAGTTTGTTTTGTTAGATCTAAGTATATAAATTACTCTACCATCGTTGATTCCCATTTGTCGATTGAAGTACCGAAGGACCGGATTCTATCTCCAATCTCCAACATTCGTTGATTCCATGCCCTGATGCCCTTAAACTTCCTTATCCTCACTATGAACATTTTGATATACTCCGTATTGTTTTTACTAGCTAGAAATCCAGAAGTTGTGTTCTTTAATCTTTAACAAGGATTTTATAATTTGAATTCGTTTTTCTTTCTGTTTATATACTTTAAATAGGGATGTTTTCTTGTTTCGTCGTCGACAATAAACTCAGAAAACCAGTCCGCATCCTGCCTATTCTCTAGTTGCCCAACCAGTGAAAACAAGTGAATGATTACAGCCAAGGTCGTCTAATGAATTTGGAGACCCCGATTCTAAATGTAAAACCGAGGCCCCAAATTAATATAATTTTTTTAAAAAAAATCAATCCAAATAGTTATACTCAAATCAATTATATACTCATTAAAAAGAATTAAAAGAGTAAAATGACCAACGAAAAAATCATGCATCTATAATTTCTTCGTTACTAATTGTATTTTACTGATTAGTACTAATATATAATATTACTCCGTACTATATAATACTAAAACAAATTTAAAATTTTGGGGCCCCATAAATTCTGGGGCCCTGTTCTGGATAACCTATTGAACCCCCTAAAAAACGGCCCTGATTACAGCCACTTTCTGGATACAATACAGGGGCATAGGGGTCTTTGCAATAACTAATAGTAAAATAATAGTTTTCAGCCCAAACAGTAAGGGGAAGGTTGTTTTTTCAGCTGATAAGGAAAATCAGCCACAACAGCCC